ACTAAGAAGAGTTACTCACAGTCCAGAACATACAATGAGCAAACCAGAGCAGTACACAAAAAGTTGTATTGCACAATATAAATATAAATGTATTTCACCCTGTAATATATTGCACAAAAACGTTTTAAACGGGAAAGGCAGATGTAGCAGACAGTTTACTGTTCAGTCCAAAAACAGGTCAATGTCAATGTTGCCTCTGCCCAGACGCAAGGTGGATGTGTTGTACAGTCTTATGGCAGAAGGCAAGAATGACCTCCTGTGGCGCTCCCTGTCGCACCGTGGATGGATCAGCCTATTGCTGAACTAGTGCTCTTCATTTCCACAAGCATGTCATAGCGGGGATGGGAGACGTCCATGATGGCCTCTAGTTTGGACACCATTCTCCTCTCAGCCACTACCTCCAGGGGGTCCAGGCCAGACCCAATGACTGAGGTTGCTTTCTGATGAGCTTGTTCAGCCTGTTAGAATCTCAGAGCCCCAGCATACCACTGCACAGAAAATGGGGCTTGCCACAACTGACTGATAGAACTGATAGAACATATGTAGCATCTTGCTACTTACATTGAAGAACCTGAGCCTCCTCAAGAAGTAAAGACGGCTCTGACCCTCCTAGTAGATGGCCTTGGTGTTCTTAGACCATTCCAGTCTATTGTCAATGTGCACTCTCAGGTACTTGTATGAGTCCACTGTCTCTTCGCCACTCCCATGGATGTAGACAGGAGTAGGTTGGACCCTTTTCCTCCTGAAATCTTTCACCAGCTCCTTCATCTTTGCTACATTCAATATCAATACAAAAGTCATGGCCCTGTGATAAAGATCATGGCCCTGTGGCCCTGTGGTACACTGATGATAAAGATCATGGCCCTGTGGTACACTTTGGTGCCCTGTGGTATCTTCAGTGTGCAAACATGTGCCTCTTTGTCTTTACATACTGTATATAAATATACATACAAGCATTTGAAAATGTATAATTACTGTATTTCAGTACCATATACAGTATTTTGTTATTTTCCTTATGGATAAGATGAAAAATATTTCAGTCATTCGTGGCAACAAGCTCTGAAGAAAACATTCAATTTAGAAAGCAATAAAAAAATTTGGAGGCGTTACAAAGTGAAATTGGGTCATTCTACACAGTCCTATAGTCTTTCTTCTTCCATATACTGTTACCTCAGTATCATTTCAGAACCACAGTATCCTTTCAAACCTCTAATCTTAAAAGAAAAGGAAAGAATTTGATTTTCCAACAAATTCAAATTCAAATATAGCTAAAAGGGAAAAACTGTGAATGTTTTCGATAAAAACACCATATGATAAAGTATTTAAAATCTATTGAAAGGAAATAAAATTATAATCAGTAAAACAATATACAATTTTTCAGATTTTGGCTCATTTGATCAAACATAATTCCCCTGCCTCATCCTTAAAACTCTAGTTTTAACTGTTTCTTCTCCAAAAAGTTGAAATAGTGTACTGTGAATTAACTGTTTCTGACATATTAGAAAATTGTCATAATCGATTACTATACCCGTCAGCACCAAAATCTTATTTCATAATTCTAAAAAAATGACAGAACATAAATTATGTGTTATAAGCCAAGCTTCTTCAGTATTAAGGTTGCTGTATTGTATTGAGAAGAGGCAGATTTTCAGAATAAAAGAAACAGAAGAATCCAGTTTCCCCTGCTTATTCTTTCATGCTAGGAAATCCTGTTGGACTATGCTGATCCTCTGCAGGAAATGAAAACAGCTGTTTTGGATTCTGACTATATTTGTCTTAATGACTTTATTTCCTAATGGAGATTCTGAGATATAGAGCAAGCTCCAGTGTTCAGCTCCTCAAAGAATGCTGAGCTCTTGCAAAGGAGGAGGAAAATGTATATTTGTGTCTGCAAGGGTGGTATTTGAGATCTGATATGTGAACTCTTGAAGGATTGCTGTGAGTTTCATACACATTATCCACTATTAAAAACTGGTCTTTTGTTACGCACTGCCAAGTAAGGAAATAATGAAGAATTTGAATAAAAATTCTAGCTCAGTAAGGACGTTTGAAGTATTTATTCATTAGCACCCATTGCATCAAAATACAGGGACCATGTTTCCAATTATCCGAAAGTTCCTTACTGTGTCCCTGGTAAGGGCTGAGGAAACCCAAAATCTATCCTACAAGATCATGCAAGCCAAGACTACCTTAAACTGCCACACACAAACGCACAAGGCAGAGACATCTGTTGTCCCAGTTAGCATGTCTTTGGAAGGAAACTGGAGTACCCAGAGAAAACCCACATGATCATGAGGAGAAAATGCAGACACAGAAGGTACTGCTATCAAAAACCTTGATGTTGCAGTGCTAAAGTGCTAATCGCAATGCCACTGTGCCTCTTCTTTGTTTAATATTTGGTCATTAATACTCAACCTCACTTTGTTCAATTTTGTGCTGAAAGATAGTTGTCTAACTATCAGTAAAAGTGTCAAAATCTGCACAAGGGGTGTACGTATTTTACAATTCACATAACGTGACTGTTGGCTTGCAAGTATTGTTGAAAAATTACATATTTAAATTAGAACAAAATGAAATCCTTCTTTATTTCTTATGAATTTTACTTTTGTTTCTCACTAAATACAAACATTGTTTTTCAGTTTTTTTGACATTTTTATTCATTATGATTAAATTAGTCTATTTGCTGTTTAAAGAGAAATCAAACAACTTCATGGCAATTCAGTTTCCAAGGATGCAAATTAAAAATCAGATTACAATTGTTTTTAAGGTTCCCCATGATGAAATATATCATTTTACATAGCTCCTTTGATAGTCTTGCATTTTGTATATTTTTCAGTTTTTATTCCATGGCTCTTAAGCCAATGCTGAAAGTGTCATACTGTACATCTGGGTCCAAGTGGTAATGTTATCAAACAGATGTGCAACTCCATTTGTAATAGAGCTCATATGGACAGTTATTAATCAACAGGAAATCAAATGTTTTACAATTGTTTAAAATAATATTTAAGTATAAATGGGTTTAAAAAATAAAGCATACACATTTCTGTATTACCCAAACCTATTGTGAAAATTTGCTGACATCCAACATTCCTGACAGGGATATACCGCACAGAGAAGGACAAGGGCACTCTGTATGAGCTGACTTTCAAGGGCAACCAGAACCATGAGTTCAGGAGGCTGGTGTTTTTCCGTCCATTCGGGCCTGTGATGAAGGTGAAGAACGAAAGGGTCGACACATCCAACATGCTGATCAACATTGTAGTGCCTCTGGCTAAAAGGACTGACAAATTTCGACAGTTCATGCAAAATTTCAGGTAGGAGTTTAATTTCTTATTTTATTGTAAATACTTCTGTGATCCCAAAATTAACTTCACATGAATACAATTCTGATAACTTTGGGTTGTACACTTAGAGGCTTCTTAAAACAGAAATGATCGAAAATGTTTACTATTCTATTGTTTGACTCATTCCTTTATACAGAAACACAATTCTATGCAACTCTTTATGATGGTCAAAAGCATGTGTTAAACTGTGTTGTGGTAACTGTAGCTAATGGCTAACACAAGTGAATGACTGAAAAAACTCTTTGCTTTTGTGAATGGTAATGGAATGGAGAATAGTGATACATATTATTGCATATGAAAAGTCTTATGTTTTACAACAATTACTGTAGCTGATTACAAAAACAATCAGTGAGTCAGAGTTCAAGTCACATGATAACCAGCAGGAGTTCAATAATTTGAAATTTGAGGTGTTGAAATTGACAAAATGTGTTGATTAAAAAACAAAAAACACGTTATTTTAATTAGTTCAAGAATATCAGAAGATCTGATTATGCCTGCTTGAGTAATGAAGATCACCTGGTTGCTACAGTACCTGCATGATTGGAAGCAATCTGTCTGTGGCAGAAGTTACCGGAGAATGAGATGTTCTGTTTCAGCAAGCAGTAGTACACAGATATGGCTCTGTGAGTGACAGACCATGTCCTGGAAGACAGAGCAGTACTACTTCTGACAGAAATCAGCATGTGAAAACATGATGATAAGCATTAGGTTGGCTCCTGTGTTCAAAAAACAGAAAAAAGATGATATGGGAATCTCCCAGCGGAAGAACATCTGTGGTGCAAATCAGTGCCCTTCTTACTAATCAGTGATACACTAAGACAACAGTTTTTCCATTTCGTCAAGTAAATGTAGAACTGTGAATTTTACAGCAGAACAATTGAAGACCACCCAGTGGTTCTAGAAGCTCTCATGATAAATAAATCCACAAGGCCCAATACTACCTTACCAATTCTATTAAAGAAAAACCAAGAGACTGTAAACAGAACTTTTCCGACAGTCATTTAAGGCAGGGATAAGACTCTTGGACTGGACATATAATGCCTATTAATAAGAAGGTTGAACTGAGTAAAAAATCTGACTCCTTTTATATATTATATTATATTATATTA